ATAATATGCATTTGTATAAAATATATGTATACATACATATATAATTAATATAATATTAAATATCATTCTCGTTACTCGTATAATTATAAGTATCCTCTGAACGCATATTATTCCTTGATAATCAATATCAATGATAGAGAAGACTTACCTACACCGGGGTACTCACATATTTTCTCACTGTCTCGCAAACTCGAGACACGCGCTTTGCAAAATTAGAAAATTTTTTTCCAAAACGATTTAAACTCTTTTTTAAATGATAACAGTTATTCAATTCAATTATTATTATTAAGTTAAAATAAATTTTCCAGAAAGCTTCAAATCAAATTTTAATCAATTTTTTGAATCCTCCATAAAAAATTTTAATGGTTTCTTAAGAAATGTAACTTTAAAGCGGTTTGAAAATAATTTTCTCCAATTGTCGCCAATGTTCAACGCAGTGTCTCGATTTTCACTTATTATTTAACGACGAAATATCCTTTAACGATGCTTACTCATCCCATTAGTTTTTTCATTGACGCGACAAGCATAAAAAAGAGGAAGAAAAAGGCTAATGTATTCGTTGATTCAAACTTGCTACAAAATATGAAAGTATGTCTTCGTTGTTATTTATAGAGAAACGATCTTCTTAATTTACTGAAATTACATGTCAGCTTTCAAAGGAAATTAACAATTAAAGTTAATATTCTTATCTAATCATAAATAAAGCTTTCTTATTGACAATTTTAATAATTTTTTAAAATCTTCTATAAGTAACAATAATAATAATTCTTGTAGAGGAGCGAGCATCGCTAGACAATCCGTCTTTATCTTACATTATATTATTAATAAGGCCTTAAAAGAGAATGTCACAGTACGGTTATTACGAAGGAATGTCTTCAAGCGTTCTCTACGTCGAACGTTTTTCGAGTATAAGAAGAGCTCGTTAGAAAAAAAGATGAAACGAGAGAAAGAGGAAGAAAGATTGGCGAGAAGAGGAAAACAAAAGATAAAAATTCTTGTTCGCGTTTACAATATAATAATCGACTTATGAGCTACGGACTTACGATCGGGAGAGACGAACGATGAGAAGCTCGGGCGAATTATTTAGAAAATTAAAAAACTCAAGAATTAAATTGTAAAAATTAACGCAATAAAAATTAAAGATAATCAACAAAATCACTTTTTCAATTCTCCGAGACCTTGTACATGGAATGCATATAATCCTGCCTTCATCGCAACGCCAACCTTTTTCATCGAGCAAAAAAAGTACATTGCTCAAAGTAATAAAATTCAAAAATAAAACTTGCGTGTAATATTATACGTAATTAATAACTAAAATTTAAACATCTTAAACAATAATAGAACATTTTTAGTGCAAACTAAATAAAATATAAAATACATAAACTGATATGTATATATATCTATGCCAAATATAAATATCAAAATTTATTTCAAATCGCAGACTTATAACTTTCAATTCATAATTGTGATTTTTTTTTACAAGAATTTATTTCACGAAAGAAACGTGGCTATAAAAAAGTTAAAGTTAAAGTTAAAGATTAAAAATCTTTTAAATTTGATCTTTGTAATTCGTTGCTTTTTAAAATCGTTTCTTTAAATTAAATTAAAGTAAAAAGACACTTTTATCAATTATTAATCAACATTCTCACTACATTTTTAATCTTCATCTTGATTTTACCATTTGCTTGTGAAGCAAAAAATATATTTACATTTTTTACATAAAAATATGTTCCTTAGATATTTCTTAAACATCATTTAAAGTTTTGCATTTAGGCGAAACTAAATTAATTGTTGTATATGTTTTGTTTAGGTAGGACTGTCCTTAATCATCGAATCATTACACATGCATTCCGAGCTTCTCGATGATCCTCCCTCCCTCGAGATGGCGAAGAAAAACGATTTTCGCCGTTTCGCTAAACCGTACAACCGGCGTCCGAGGTTGTCGGTACGAAGGGACTACTCTGCCGGTAGAAATCGGTTTCGTACTCTTCAACCTTTACCGGATAATCGGTGACGCAGTTTTGCGGTTGGTTCAGTGCCGGTGGAGGTTGTTGTTGTTGCTGTACAAAATTATCCTGGTAGCTAGGCAGCTGAAGGGGTTCGGCAAACTGCTGATACGACGTCGTGTCCACACCCTGTTTTAGGCAGGTCGGACCGTGAAGGCTCAGCATGTCGACAAGCCTGCGCCTCTGCGTCTCCAACTCCTGTATCTGGGACTTTAGGTCGAGATTTTGGGTCTCGAGGATTTCGGATTCCTGCACGAGAATCACCGTTTTCTCACGTTTCTTCAGTCGGCACTTGGTCGCCGCAATCTTGTTACGTTCTCGCCGCCGTCGACGCCGCTCCTCATCCTCCGGTGTCAGCTGCAAACGACAAGGATTTCCGCACTTTTTATTCTGATGTCTTCCATTTTCTTTCCAGACAATGAGGAAATTGTAGTTTCAATTATTTTTTTTTTTTTAGGAAATAGTAATTTTAATTCTTTTAGGAAATTGCAGTTATTTTGTTTCTTTCTTTTGAAACTTTTGAAATTCTTACTTTGAGATGTGAAAAGCAGGTCTTGAAGATCTTGAGATGTTGAGGCCTTGAGATTTCGATGAGATGTTGAAAGGAAGCCTTAAAGGAGTTATGCAGGAAATAGTTTTAGACCTCGCAAATTCACAATAAAGAACTTTAGATACTTTTTTTGCAGGAAAACAAAATAAATCTTCAATTAATGCTAATTAGGAGGTTTTACTTTTTTATATGCTTAAAGTTCATTTTTTCGTTCATGATTTCGAAAGATATAACAAAAAATTTTTTAAATTGGAATATTTCTTAGAAATTCCAAATCTTGCCGCTTTTGACATAAATTATTTACATTTTTATTCTATAATTTTCATAACTTTAATTGATAAAAATTGCGTAAAATTAAAACTAAAACTTTTACTAAAACTTTTAAAAATATTATAAACTTAACTAAAATATTATTAACTTATAAAAACTTCATTAACTGTACGTTAAATAATAATGACAAATTATTTGAGAGAAGATACTAATAGTTTGCTCGTGACACTTTCGCACAAATTAGCAAGAATTAGCAAGGATAGGTGTAAGGTAAAGGTGTTAATTAATAGCAGATACCGAATGCAGATATGATTTTTGCACAAGAAAATACGAAATGTATGTTATAAATGCATTTCCAAAAAATTCATATAAATCACACGGTTTTATAATTTTGTTCATTTTTATTTTGTTTATTATATATATCCTGACATTTCTCACCCATGATAAATCGCAACATCTAATAAAAAATTTTTATAAAATGTACATTATATAAAATTTTTTACAGATCAATAAATTTTAATATTGCAAATTTATTACTCAAAATATGAAATCATAAAATCATAAAATTTAATTGTAGATTCTATATGATATATTTAGAATAACATTTGTTATTTAGTAATGTTAAATGCTTGAAAAATAAAAATAAAATTCAAGATATATTATAGAAGAATAAAAATGCGTGCACATATTTCTTATCGGAATTGCAAGGCGTAATCCGTAACGATTAAAATACAAGCATATTCTCGCGCTTTCAAGATTCCGCTAATTTTAGCAACTTGCACTTCGTGCCGTAAACAAACGATTCTGTGCGCGGCATGCAAATTCGCGAATACCGAAACCGCCGAAATGGCTCGACGGCGCCTGTCGGAATTAATTTATTCGCACACGCGAATAGTCGCAACAGCAGTCAAGGACACGAGAAGGATCGAAAGGATTTCATCGTCTGGTCCGGGATCAAGAGACGTTTCTAAGCTATCGTCTAAATTGCTAAGAAAGAATCGCTATGTATTCGCGCATTCAACATATTTAATATTTAGATTATTCGTTGTATTTTTTGTGTTTTCTTAGTCTAAATTAATATGATAAATTATATCAATTTATATAAGTAAAAATTAAAACAGACATTCTTTGAAGAAAAAGAATATGAAAAATGCAATTAAAATGAATAGATCTAACATCCAAATGTTATTTATCAAAATAAAAAAGTATTAAAGAATTTTTTAAGACATTTAAAGCATCTAATCTGTAATTGAAAAATAAGATCTGATAGTTAATTTGCTTTTCTTTACAAGTTATCATATAAATTCCAATAATC